CTTTTCTACCCTATATCTCCCCCCCCCCACCAAGCTGTCTCTACCCCCACCCCCACCAAGCTCCTTTTCTACCCTCCCCACCAAGCTCTCTCCCCCCACCCCACCAAGTTCTCCTCTCTACCCCCACCCCACCAAGCTCTCCTCCACCTCCACCCCACCAAGCTCTCTCCTCTACCCCCACCCCCACCAAGCTCTCCTCTCTACCCCCAACCAAGCTCTCCTCTTCTACCCCCCACCCCACTCCTCTACCCCCTCTACCCCACCCCAGCCTCCTCTACCCCCACCCCAACCAAGCTCTCCTCCTCCCCCCCACCCCACCAAGTTCTACTCTACTCTACCTTCCCCACCAAGCTCTCTCTACCCCACCCCCACCAAACTTTCCTCTACCTCTCACCCCTACCAAGGTCTCCTCCTGTACCCCTACCACATCAAGCTCTCATCCTCTATCCCACCCCACCCCATCAAGCTGTCATCCTCTATCCCACCCCACCAAGCTACCCCCACCCCACCAAGCTCTCTCCTCTCACCAAGCTTCCTCCACCCCACCCCACCAATTTCTCCTCTTCCACCCCACCCTGCCAAGCTCTTTTCCTCTACCCCCACCCCACCAAGCTCTCCTCTCCCTCTACTCCACCAAACTCTCCCACCCTTTAGCCTGCCCCGCCAAGCATTCCTCTACTACCCTCACCCTACCAAGCTCTCCTTTTCTACCCCATCCCCAAGCTCTTTTCACCCCACCCCCACCAAGCTCTCTTCCTCTACCCCACCTCACCAAGCTCTCTTCCTCTACCCCACCTCACCAAGCTCTCCTCATCTATTCTACCCTCCCACCAAGTTCACCACCTCCACCACCCCACCCAGCTCTCTTCTTCTACCTTCACCCCACCAAGCCATCTTCTTCTTCCACCCCACCCCACCCCCATCAAGCTCTTCCTCCACCCCACCCTCTCTACATCCCCTTCCAAGCAAGACCAGGACCTCCCTTCTCCCACCAAGGTCTCCACTGACCCCACCCTCGCAACACCCATATGGTTGACTCTTCCACTCATTAGACCACCTGCATCTATTTGCCTTCCATTGTACATACCCACACCCTCCTACCCATCTATCGACATCTGCACACAAACGTTTCACAGCAACACCCATCCAAACCTGGTCATCACAACCTTTACCTCACACGTTTCTATTCACAACATATTCTTAAACTGAACATTGCACACTTTCTCATCCATACTTGCCCTGTTACATACATAAGTAGACTATACAGTGTTCCCTTCTGTTGGAGTACCTGGCCAATGTGTCTCTGAGACAGTGCCTGAATGTGTGTCTGTGTTGGTGATGGGAAGATTTATATACACCATTACTCCTCTTCTGACATGGAGCCACTCAGGGAAGACATACACTATCTAGTTGAATAAATCTGTCATAATGTGTAGGACAGAACAACCTCCCAAGGTGCCCTAGTATGTACTGTATCAGACAACTTATTCCAAATATTTTATTATTGGACTGCTGGAGAGGTGTTTGAGCAGATAAATAACATGTTTCTTACAGGTGCTTGATCAGATTGAAAATTGATGAACTGAGCTAAAATTCCAGAAGGATGTTCCATTTCATTACTTGTGTTTTCTGGTGAATTGTGAATGTTTACTAGAATACATTTAGAGTAAAAAATATCTTTCTATGACTGTGTGCTAAAGCAGGCAAAACCCTTGGTGATTGCTTGTGTTTTCTGATGAATTGTGAATGTTTACTAGATTACATTTAGAGTAAAAAATATCTTTCTATGACTGTGTGCTAAAGCAGGCAAAACCCTTGGATTGTAAACCACCCGGATTTTGATTGTTTTGTATTCATTGTGATTTGTATGATTCTGTAATCATTAATGAAGTCATGCATGTAAATGGCAGTGTAGCTCAAGGATCAACCAATGAAGAATTGGTTTTCAGCAATCGTGCTTGCTGTAGCGACTAATGGGATCGGATGGTTGGGTTCGCTGACTTGCTTGACACATGTCATCATATCCCAATTGTGTAGATTGATGCTCATGCTCTTGATCACTAGGTTGTCTGGTCCAGACTTGATTATTTACAGAACAATGCCATATACTAGTAACTGGAATATTGCTGAGTGTGGTGTTAACCAACAAACCAACATCACCTCAGAGATCAGTATTTTATGTCGTGCTTTATCTTATATACAAACTGTTTTGGCAAGATCATCCACCACCATGTCTTGAATCATAGTATTCCACTGATGAGGTGATGGATAGTTTTACTCCTGATCAGCACGTAGTTGATTAGTGTAAGTTTAACAAGATAAGAGGGTGTGATGATTGATACAGTCCAGAGCCTGTACAAGGTCTTTTAATTAAGACAACACCCATGGCTGAAATGGAACAGTCCTAATTAGTGTTCCCTGCTGAGTAGACCTAGCTTGTAAATAAATAAAACAATTGAAACTGTAAAGAATGTGTAAACTCAAATCTTTGAAGGACATTTAGAAGTGGAATGCATAAGAAAAGCTGGATTTTTGGATGTCAACTTCATTATTGTGAATAAATCGACATTTCGGAGTGTATGCTTACTCCTTCATCACCTGGATGATTTTGTGCACATTAATTCTCAAGCAAAATTTTCAAAATGTAATGACTATGACTGCTGTATAATTCTACATTGTGGACATTATATGTACAACAGGAATCAGTTCTTTTCCAAACTTTTAGATCTTTTTCATGTCAGTGTATCTGTACAAATAGAATTACTGCCAGAAGATTAAATGCTGTCTCTCTTTTCTGGGGGGTGAAATACCGGTTACTGAACACATAGATGAAATGTCATGGAGCTGTATGATTGTCCTATTTTATAAATATCTGTATTCCGTGGTATCCTCACTCAAGTGTGTATTGTAGATCCTTCCTTGCCTTTGCTCTGTACATGGGTGTACCCGCCTTGTGAATATGTTCTTGTGAATATATGATGTATGCATGTATGTGATCTTCGGATTGAAATAAGTAGTGAGAATGTTTTATAGTCAATATATGGCCGAGTGCTGTTTGTCTGAGTAGGGTTAGTGTATGTTATACTTTTAGATTTATGTATTTATTTATTTGTTTAATTATTTATTTAACTTATTAACTAAACTTACTAAGCAACTTACCAAACAACCAACTAAAGGGTTCGAATACCCGTTACCTTGACAACCGTTGCTATGGACTCATCAACTCTTCAAACATATAACTGAAGTGAAAGTTACATGTATTTTTTCAATACAAAGTAAAAGAATCCTGAATGGTTTTAACAATATTGTCATCTGAAAAATAGTATTTTCCTACATTTTCACATGCGATTCTGGGTCAATTTTGTAGAATTTTAATTAACAGCTAATTAATGAAAAATATTGAGAACAGAAACATTTCTGAGTGACATGACATTTTACAAGGCCAAATAAAAAGAATGACAAAATTTCAAGTGAATATGAACTTTTGGACTTCTCCACTTCTGCATGATTCTTAGGTGGAATGCTACTTAATATGCCAAGAATGGACATGATCAACATACCATATTTATTATTTATTATTTATTTTTTATCTCTGTTGAACTTATAATAAATATGCTGAATTAACATAACGTCTTGTCTAATTGATTCTACTGGACTGATCCATAAGAGATAGGTATCAGCTTGAGGATTTGTTGTGCACTGAACCAGAAATGTTTTTTTTTAAGCTGTCTTAGATATGGCTGTACAAGTTTTGGGAGGTTACCTTTAAGATAGTAACAGGTGATGATTCTAACATGTAATTCTTTTCTACTGTGATGTGCGGTGGGGTTACCTAGTGGTTAAAACAATCGCTCATCACACCAAAGACCTGGGTTTGATTCCCCACATGGGTACAATGTGTAAGTTATGGTGTCCCCGTCATGATATGTCCCCGTACAAATGGCATAAAATCATACCCACTTACTCATTCTCTACTGTGTCATGTAGCAGCATGGAGAGTCAAGCACTCCATTGGAAACAATCATTACCTAAAAACAACAGATACAGCTAAGACCCTGATCCCAGTCCTTGTTCTGTCTAGGATTTAGCCCTGCAGCGTTCTCCAGTTGTATTTCCGCCATATAGCTGGAATATTGCTGAGTGCGACGTAAAACTAAACTCAAAACTCCAATGGCATTTAACAAGATCTTCTGATGCATTTTCAGAAAATCCAAAACACATCCACAAACATAATTACCAGGACATGCAAATGGTCACACAGAATACTATATCGCCAGAAATCTGCATCCAGTAGCAGCCAGGATCCTACTTTTGAACCTGTGCTTAACATACTTTTATCAGCATAGTCTTGAACATCCATACCCTATGGAACTTCTCTCTCTGCTTGTACTACAGACTACATTTATAATATTATGTTAAATGAATATTTAACAATATAGAAATTAGATTTTAAAAAGTTAAAAATCTCAAACTGTAATGTTTTGACTGACTCTTGATTACCCAATAAGTTTCACTGCATTGTCTAGTCCAGAGGTGATTGTTTACATACCATCCTAGCTGGAATATTGCTGAGTATGGCATTAAACAGATAAATAAATATATGTATAGCTCTGGTATTGGTGTTTGAAGTATTTTATTGAAACTGTTATTTTTTTTAAATGAATTAACTTACTCACTATGACGAGCAGAAGGATAGAACCTAGCATAGCTACTATTCTTTCTCCAGAGGAGGTCTAGACAGTATCATAACAAATAATACGCACTCTTGTTTGTCAGCTGATAGGCCTTTATCAACCATGGTTTAATGGTATTTATTCCCGGGTGCCATTTTTCTCTCAATACAAATGTGTGATATGATCTCAGCGGTGGTTAGATATTACTTGATATCAAGATGTAGTACAGATCAGTCACATTGTATCAGCTGACTTAATCAGTAACAATTGACACACGGGCTAAGTGAGACATGTGACAGGTTGTTTACACGTGATTGTGTGTTTCAGGCGTGCTCATGGTGCCGTGCCGGACAAAGACGACCATCACAGGTGGGGGATCTATCTTTACGACGCAAACATTGACAGGGACCGACACTGGTGGGCATCACACCAGGAGTCCAAATCCCGCAGGGAGGGGGTCAATGGTCTCAATTCGACTCTTTATAACGCTTCAGTGTGTGTCCCCATAGGTCACATGTGACATTGTCTGCCACATATCTACAGCAACAACTTATGCACTTCACCGAAGTGGCTAATGTAGAAACATGACTACAGGCTTGTTCTCCCAACTCCTCAAACAAACAGCTGTGTTAAGTGCCTGTTTTAAATGCTGTTAAGTAACATATAGGCTTATCATTGCGAGACAATCAAACGTAACCTTACGTTTGATCACCAAAGTCACCTGACCTATGGGTTAATGCTAAAGACTGTGAATCACCTCTCTATTGGGGTGGTAGCGCGACAAAATACTTGTTTCATGATCCATTACACACAAGCTTCGGGACAGACCCGAAAAGAAAAGAAGACGTTAGATTGTATTTTGATAGTTTGTCTGCTCACTTGGTATCTCTGAGGTATCAGTGTCGACTAATTGGGTAAGAATTTCTCGAATTCGTACTTAATTATATGTGCCTATGACGGGCCAACACAACCAAGTGAGGAAATGTCCTTTACAAAGAATGGCACGTCTTGAAACATCACCTGGTTTGTCAAAGTTCAGAAGTGGTGATATTGTGCACATGTTTTTGACGTGCATAACAGCAATAATTCAGCCACCCGCTCACGGCATCTGACCCCTGTTTACAACAGGGATTCCCGAAATTGCTCTCCCAGTTTAGCCTTACATCCATCACAGGTGTGTATTGGCCTCGACCAATCGAGTGCCCATACCGTAAATGTACCAGTACAAGCTCCTCCAGGCTAGACAGTAGCAGAGCCATGTGACAGTTGGAACTAGTTATAAAGCACCAAATGAGAGAGCTTCTCTGCCATGAAAATTACTGTTCCATACTGAGATAAAATGAAGTCATGAAATATATTTTGTTGGCATTTCATTATCTTGTGTTTTTTACAAGAAGATATATTTTTTGTGTAATCTTAAGTGATTTATTGTGTCCTTAGTATCAGTCTTTAATGTACCATTTGTGTGAAATTTGTAGATTTATATGATCTGTGTTGTAAGGCAATCTGTGTAAGGTGCAGACCCATAAGATCAAAAATGATCAAATATGTGTTTGACAGTAACTAAAAAAGTCAGAGATCCTTGTCGTGTTTAAAGTGTTTTTTTAAGGGGTGGGGTCATCTCCAGATTCAAATACTATATCACAAACCTCTTAAACCCTTGCCTCCATCCAAATGCTGTTTGATTCTCAAATTTTGAAAGGGGTTCTGAGTAATGGAGGCATGTTTGAGCCATTAGAATTGTTGCTAGAGAATAACATGGTGTCTAAATTAGAATACAGCCCCAGCAACCTGTGAAGCTCAGAATATTAATCACTAATTTGTTTGGTAAATATTTGATTATCTATAGGCTGACAAATCACTGCAAAGATGCAGGCAACATTAAACAAACTGAAGTAAAGGATATTTGAATTATTAAAATAATAAAATTTGGCATCAAGTTTTGATCCTGGTTTCAAATAGTCGAACACTGTAGTGTCGAGGTTGAAAAGGCCTAAGTAAAGTTATCCAAGTTTAGACACTACCCAATGCAGGACCAAGCCTTTTCTTCAAGACAACTGTATGCTCAACACTTAAAAGTTCACCACAACAGTGTTTGACTGTACCACTATTTGTGCTTTTAAAAATATATTTCACTGCCTGTAGTTGGAACATATATTAGAGACAGTACAGTAAGAACAACCCAGCCAAGCATAAAAGCCAGACATACTGGTCATATATATGAAAGCGATCAGCCAACTGGTTACTCTCTGCCTGTGTGCCTATTGTACTCTGTTCTTAACTGGCATTTAAACTGCCCCATAGCATTACAGGTGAAACTTAACCCTTTATTCATACCCTGGGGCTGATTGGAGATGCCGCTTTGAAATGTAGCATAGAAGCAATTTGTCAATTGGTAAAGATTCAGAGCATTCAAATAAAATATGATATATTAAAGTACCATTAAGTCAAGTAAGGCTCAGTGGGATGGAAATATGCTGGTTGATCTGACTTAATGTCACCAACACATCAAATCAACTTGGGTATTTCACATTTAAACTAGTGTTATTGCTCAATTAAGACATTTTCTTGCATTCTTCAGGAAACTCCCATGAGAATTGAGGCTTTGAGGCTGCCCACTTGGTGTGGTGTCATGAAAAATAAAATGAACATTGAACATTGCCAATTAATTTTTGAATTTGTTTTACAGTAATTCCTTGCTAAAAATTGGGTTGTAGATATATATATTGTTTGTTTACTTAGGGACTGGTAATTTTGTATAGGGATTTTCCATATTATTTTCTTGGAAAATGAAAGAAATGTCATTAAAATATTAATTAATAAAACAACATTCCTTATTCATTGTACTTTTGTGTTTTCTTGAGAGGATGTAATACATTTTAGCCAAAGATTGAATATTGTGTATGAGTGAGGTATCATCTTAGTGGTCTACACCGCCATATAGCTGGAATATTGCTGAGTGCGGCGTAAAACTAAACTCAAACTAGTGGTCTACAAGTAGCTCTGGTACCAGAACATGCCTGGCCTTAAGCCAATTTTATAGTGCCAGCCCACTGAGATACCTGGCCACATGGATAGTGAGCAAGCTGGGGTTTTAGTGCAGTATTCCAGTATTCCAGTTTTGTCATGGTGTGTCTACTTGATATGGGTTTAAAGTCTGAAGTGATGCAGGTTTACAAGTTTTCCACTATTGAGATTATTTACAGACCGCTGCCATGTAGCTGGAACATTGCTGAGTGCAGCGTAAAACAAACTCACTCATGTACCCAAGCAAAAGTGCAGTGGGCTGCTACAGCAGTTGTGTTATAGACAGAGTGAGTGAGTGAGTTTAGTTTTACACCGCACTCAGCAATATTCCAGCTATATGGTGGTGGTCTGTAAATAATCGAGTTCGGACCAGACAATCCAGTGATCAACAGCATGAGCATCGATATGTGCAATTGGGAACCGATGACACGTGTCAACCAAGTCAGCGAGCCTGACCACCCGATCCCGTTACTTACCTCTTAAGACAAGCATGGGTTACTGAAGGCTGATTCTAACCCAGACCTTCACGGATGTGTTATACACAGAAGTAGTTGATGAACAGAAAGGTCTTTGGCTGTTTCTTGAAAGTGTCAAAAGAAGATAGTATTGAATGAGTGGCAGAAGGCTCCCGAGAAACTCAGCTCCAGGTTCTTTGACCAGAAGATTTCAGGTTTCTCTTTGAGACAGTAAGAGGAAGTTGGTTGCCAGATTGTACGACACTAAATGGTGTCTTTGCCAGTAACTGAAGCAGGTATCCTGGAGCAGTATGCTGATAACACTGGTGAGCTAAATTTGATCCAATAGGCAGAAAACAGCTTGGCTTCTTCCATCTCCGTGAGTGAAATATGCATTATGTCCGAAAGCGCACTTTAAATTCTCAAATCATCATCAACCTCCATTCTACACTTCAACATCATCTCACACATAGCATGGCCTGATGTGGAAGACAGCAGAGAGGATGGCTTTTCGCAGTATTCCTGCAATATCGTGGTGGTGGTGGACATGATTGATGTTTACAGCTTAGTGAGTGAGTGAGTGAGTTTAGTTTTACGCTGCACTCAGCAATATTCCAGCTATATGGCGGCGGTCTGTAAATAATTGAGGCTGGACCAGACAATCCAGTGATCAACAGCATGAGCATCGATCTGCGTAATTGGGAACCGATGCCATGTGTCAACCAAGTCAGCGAGCCTGACCACCCGATCCTGTTAGTCGCCTCTTATGACAAGCATAGTCGTACAACTTAGTGAAACCTAGGAGCATGGTGTGGAAGTGACAAACCAAGAAACAATCAGGTGTGCCAGGATTTGAACCCAAGAACATAGGCTTTTGAGACGCCTAAGTGATGAGCCTCTTCATCAAAGATATGCGGCGTCTGAGACGACCGACGCCGCATGCTCCAAAGTACACAAGAAGAAAGAACAAGCAACAAACCTATTTGTTCTCATTTATTTATAATGACAAATGCTCACTGACATCTTATACAAAATGAACTTCCATCACACATAAGTTGTTCATAAAACAACCAGTCAACAAGACCAAGCAGATATCATTCCCATCATTTAAAAACAAATAAATATGCTCATAAATAGAAGCCACATCTATGTTTATCATAAGCAGTGCTCACACATTAGAAGCGGCAAAAGTAGTCGAGACAACTGATGGGACAGCGTTGTCAAATTTTTACCTACCAGTATTTTTCATTGGCCATACTGAAGAGACCAAAGCTCATAATCAGAAAACCTAAGGATTATCTCAAAGGTCTTAAGGAAAACAGATACTTTTAGGTAAGGGTTGGAAAAGGTCAGGGGAGCGGAAATATACTGCTCAATAATCTGAATCTGGTCTCTTCATGCTTCGAGGTCCGGAACTTGGTTTGTTAAGCAATAGTTTGTCTCTTTTGCATGCACATTGCTGTTTGTACAAGGGTAGGATCAGTAATGGCTACATGTATATCTATGACAACTGAGTCCTAATTTACATTATGTGGATTATGCTATATCCTGAAAATGCAAAACGAGACCTTATCTGGTCTTCTGAAGCTTGACTAGGAGTGTAGATACATTCATACCCCATGCTGATATTTGATCAATGCTATAGGTAGTTTCTTGTGCAGTATATACCTAACGTGTCAACTGTCAGAGCTGGGCATCTGTATTCGTAGATTAATGCTTACTGGGCCTTCCAAACTGAACCCCTTGAAAATACACCTCTAGTTTATTCCATCAAAAGGTCATGGCAGTGAGGAGTACAGATTTGTTTGTGAAATGGTTGATAATTACCAGAATGTATCATTATATGTATGTTTATATGCCAGACACAGCAATATTCCAGCTGGAAGACTCTGGCAGGTTCCTAAATGTGACTTGGTCGGACAGACCAACAGATGATCCATGCCACACACAGCAATATTCCACTTGGTCGACAGACCAACAGGTGATACTAAGACCAATGATCCATGCCAGACACAGCAATATTCCAGCTGGAAGATTCTTGCAGGTTCCTAAATGTGACTTGGTCGGACAGACCAACAGGTGATACTATGACCAATGATCCATGCCAGACACAGCAATATTCCAGCTGGAAGACTCTGGCAGGTTCCTAAATGTGACTTGGTCGGACAGACCAACAGGTGATACTATGACCAATGATCCATGCCACACACAGCAATATTCCAGCTGGAAGACTCTGGCAGGTTCCTAAATGTGACTTGGTCGGACAGACCAACAGGTGATACTATGAACAATGATCCATGCCAGACACAGCAATATTCCAGCTGGAAGACTCTGGCAGGTTCCTAAATGTGACTTGGTCGGACAGACCAACAGGTCATACTATGAATAATGATCCATGCAAGACACAGCAATATTCCAGCTGGATGAATGTAGAGTGTTGAATCCAGAATTAGACAGACCAATGAGTGATTTTATGAACAATAATGATCCATAATGTCGGCAATGTTGACATTCAACCAAGTGAGTGTTGGATTTTACAGTGCTTTCAGCATTATTCCAGCAATTTCACACCTGGGTACAACAGAAATGGGCTCCACATTTTGTACCTTTGCTGGGAATCTCACCTGGGCCATTTAGCACGATAAGTGAACGCATTAACCACTGAGCTACCCCCAACCTCCCACCAATCTTGTTTAAAGTAATGGATACAGCTAGTATCAGCATATCCACCTACAACACCAGGATATATATGACAATGGCATTAAGACTAGTCGGTTTGGTATTCAATGCAGTACACAGCAATATTTCCAGCTATATGACAACAGTCTACAGATAATCGGCTCTGGACAATCCACCGATAGAGAACAGGTGCATCAATCTATGCGATGGGATACATTGATATGCTTTAATCAAGTTGGGTAACCTGGATCTTGGATCTTCAGCAGGAAACCTATGTGAGTTATATTTATATCATATTTTTCAATAGAATGAGATCCTTTTAGTACAATCCTCCAGCATATCAAACAATAATTGAAGCCACTTAATCATGGTGTTACATAACAAATGCACAAATATTTCGTAAATGTACAGCTTGAACACCAAAGAACAGAAGTCTATATCATGGGTTCATCTCAAAGGCTATATTTCATTAGCCTGTTTCAAAATGACACCTGGGCCTTTCCGAACATACCATCAGAATATAGTCATAAAAACATCTAAATTAATATGGCCAATATAGAGATGGGTTCATTTATTAAACATTATCTTAACGCACACATAAATGTCGCTTTCTGATTGACTGAGCGCTCTTCTATTATTTTCAATGTATCCCACTTACAAGCGAGTAACATTTCAATGTACCCAGCTGTCAATGGCAACTCATTTGGTACTTCGTGGTAGTAATTCTTTATCTCGAATAACATTGAATCACGTATGATGTACGGAAATTACCGATGTCTGGCGAATGCAAATCGATGGAAGGGAGATAACTCTATATCTGTTTTTCGTGTCAGCAAAATCTAGCGATGGCTACAAAAAGATTTGAACCCATGCTTCAAACAATTCAAAATTAACATTAAGGTGTTCAGGTCAGGTCTTCGGGCTCAGGGAACATAAACAAACATCAAGGGTACATCAACCCATGCCCCCTCGTGACCAGTGAACAACTTATAAGGTAAAACTGGTCTTGGAAACTTATAACACTCTCCATACATTTGTTGATGATCATCTGGAAGTGACAGTAACATTTTGAAAATATCACTATGACCAAATTATGACACACTACAGAATTCTTTTATCGACTTTCACAACTAAGTTGATGGTTGGTTGACACCGGCTCATTATGCAATGAAATATTACAAGCCTAACAGTTTAACTGAACAAATCTAATTAAATATTTTCTTGAACATGTTTCTTTTTCTAGCACAAATTCCTTAATAAAATAACAACCCAGAAATAGTCAGAGACAGATGCAAATGAAAACTTGTGTGAAGACTTCAAAGCTGATAACAACCATACCTTATCTCCCGTACTATACTACTCACACTTTGATAAGGATCACAAAAATTCAGAACTTTACTTAAACTTAGATTTATGATATGAAATTGTATCCATTTAAAACTGGATAAATAATAATATGGTAACCCCTATTTAGGCAGACAGCCACTTTATTCTAACCTTATGCACTTGATACATGAGTAACCATAAAAATGGTTTTCATGGCACCAATCAACCATTTTGCAAATCATGGAACAAGTCTTTCACAAATAAACAACACCTGTCAAAAGCAGGTATGGGATCCACAAGATACAATGACTGAAACCTAGGAACCATGCTTACAATAAGCTTAGATATTTAAATCAAATTTTACCCCACATCATATTTTTCTGTTGAATCCATGATTTGATCCTTGGCAAAATGTGAATAGTATATGTCTCACTTTTATTGTTGTAAATACCTTGGGCCAGTTTGCAATCATTGTTTCACTTTGGAGCCCAGTTTGATTGGCCTGAGTGTAAAGGTAGTCCTCCAATTGAATTCCTCTCAACAACAAATCATGAAGCTATAGACTGAGCAGTGGAGGTGATGACGTCACTTCCAATATGGTACCATGGGGAACCTGTCCAAGGTATTTATCATACTATATTGAAGACAAAACATGGATAATCAAGGGTCAAATATCAGCAAGAAATATTTTACCATCTATTTTTACCTGTTCTTTAAGTCATGAATACAGCCTCCAATAATGTCTCTTTAATGTTGAATTAACATTAACAAATCAGCTAGACCCTGACAATATGTCATTGCAGGAGAGACCACAGGATCGGCAAGGGCCTATCGGGACAAACAAATTCAGGAACAGGAGAATGCAGACTTTGAAGAGACACAATACAATCAACAAGAGTGACTTCATCACATGATCACCTGGATCAACAAGCCATACAATATGCAGCGAAAAGCACAACTACACTTGTCCTTAAAGGGGAGCTACACTCGGGATAAATATAATTCAAGTACCAAAGAGAAGTGCAGTTACACCTGTCCTTAAATGAGGGTAAGGTTCAGGGTTAATGGCAGCCATCACCAATGTGTTGAAAGTTCCAGAGAGAATGTAAAGGTAATCTAGACTCAGGATAAGAGGCAGTCCCAGCCAGTTTGTTTCAATTACCAAAGAAAACAACATCTCTTGTCATTAAAGGTGTCTGGCTGGACAGTTGATTAAAGAACCTCTGACAAGTACTGAGGAGGTAAAATTGGGCTTTACATCATGCTTGAGAATATTTCGCTCATATGACGACCTGACAAGTACTGTGCTTGAGTGCTTTGTCAGTTTTCATGATGTCTCATGAACTTCACTCACAGCACTTATTTTCTTTTAGAACTTGACTGTAATACTACTGGCAATGGGAGCAGGGAGGACATCACATAAAGCTGCATGATGAATATTTCTCCTATATTCCATAGGGTTGGAATGATTTGTGAGCACACTGACACTTGATGCAACAATGTTGCAAACATATGTACAGTATTTGCCGTATTACACACCATGCTTCACATAGCAACTCTACTGATCAAACACCGACCATATCTCCATGGGCATATTTCAGGTTTCTTTCAGAAAACATAAGTGCAGAAAGGGTTGTACAATATCAAAATATATTAAATGTGTTTGTTTTACTGATATTTGGACCAATTTTTTCCATTACTGCCACACATCTGAAAACCAAATTTAACTTATGTTTCGTTTAAGTCCTTTATTATTTTTCGAGGCACCAAAGTGCTTACTACGGCAAATACGGTCTGTTGAAATCTTCAAAACAGGTATCAACACATGTTATTTATTCTAACATCATTCCAGTGGGCTGATACATTGGCCATTTGTCAAGTCAAACTGTTATTCTTTGCATAAAAAATATATTCTCAAGGCCACAATAAAAAGTTTGAGATTTTCATTCAAAAGTTTGGGGTAAGGGCATTTTATTGATTTTATCCAGTGGGTATTTGGAACAATATATCTGAGGCGTTTGGTTACAACATTGGAAGAAAATCTAATAATAAATTTATGATGGCCTAATGTAACAATAATTCCTTGAAAGTAGCATCACCTCAGCATATACTCAGGGTTGCAGTGATACTGAAGGTCAGATACTGCAACCCTCAGTAGTCAGTACAAGGTACAGTAGTGTCACTATGAGCAATATACAGCAATATGGAGATACCAAGGTTCAATAGACTGCACCAATCAGGGAATCGCTTCAAGGAGTGAAGACAGTCCAATCAGCTACCTCCCCATGTTTCATATCTTTGAGAAACACTCCAGGAATCACAGAACAAGAATCAAAGTTTTCGCAAATTTGGTAGCCCATCTGTACAGAACATGAGTATATGTAACAATACAAGAAACATTTTCTGCTCAATCGGCTGACCTGGCTGCCCTCCTTGTCGGTCAGTTTTTTGCTAAAATGGCCATTAATTAGTCCTGCTGCCTGAAATCGTGATGTGTATCAAGTGATAGCATCGCTTCCGACACTCACTGAACACAGCATAACATATATTTGTGTTAACGACATATGACTCTGATTAAATTTCTACGAGCTGAAAACAAATCCACCATGAGGCCAAGCCCTGAGGGATGCATCGATACGTTCCTCCAATGATAACATTTGTTGAAGTCAAGGCCAACCTCCCAAGGCACGTCTACATAATCTGAGTCATATCTCGTCTTACATTATATGACAAATGACTTATATATATATATTGGAACATCCTTCACAACTGTCAATGGACAAGCTGTTGTAATATAAAGAACAAAAAGTTAGAGATCAGGACTTTTCGGATGATATTTATTTTTAAGTGAAAACATCGAAAGAATTCTTGATCCCTAAACTTGTCTTGTGCTGTATAAATTACCCTGGCCATGTAAATCTGTCAGCCATACACGGTCAAATAAACCCAAACCAAATTTGTCAATTCCTAACACATTAGTTATGTAAAGTTTATAGTAATATTTGCAGCCATCAAGTCAACAGACCAGCTCTTTGCTGACGACAATATTGACAATGTATTTGTCTGTTTATACAAAGCTATATTTTCATTTTGAGGCTTATTTTAATTTCAAGCAGTACTGCAATATTAGAAACACTTCTTAAGTTGATATCATCTCTTTGTAGAAGTATGCTAGCTGATACTTTCTTGTAATAGAAACATGGTTTGTGATATCACCAAGTTGAAGAAATCTAGTGCTTGATATCACCTAGATGTAGCAATATGGTACTTGATATCACCTAGATGTAGCAATATGGTACTTGATATCACCTAGTTGTTGCAATATGGTACTTGATATCACCTAGCTGTAGCAATATGGTACTTGATATCACCTAGCTGTAGCAATATGGTACTTGATATCACCTAGCTGTAGCAATATGGTACTTGATATCACCTAGATGTAGCAATATGGTACGTGATATCACCTAGCTGTAGCAATATGGTACTTGAAATCACCTAGTTGTTGCAATATGGTACTTGATATCACCTAGTTGTTGCAATATGGTACTTGATATCACCTAGTTGTAGCAGTATGGTACATGTACTTGAAATCACCTAGTTGTAGCAATATGGTACTTGATATCACCTAGTTGTAGCAGTATGGTACTTGATATCACCTAGTTGTAGCCATACAGTTTTAGTATCTCCTATATTAGAAATAGGGTAGATGATATCATCCAGCTGTAGGAATAGAATTCTTGATATCCCCTACAATAGAGATATGGTTCTTGATATAACTTAGTGGAAATAAGATTGTTGATATAACCTTGTTGAAGAAATACGGTCATTGATATTACCTAGTCGGTATAAGGCAATTGATATCACCTAGTTGTGGAAATAGGGTATTTGATATCACCTATTGAAATGCATTTTTTAATGAGCATCTGTTTTTGTTGTGTCTGAAGCGAGTGACTGGAATGCCACACTGACAAGACGATGGCACACGTCCATGTACTGTAGACACCAAGCATCAGACCTGCAGAGTAACACGAGGCACACATACACAATCAATCTGATATACAAGATTTGCTGAAACTGATCAGTTCTTCAGCAGCTGACCAACATGGCAATATGCTAATCTTGACCATCAATGTTAATAGCATCTTCACAAGACCAGTCAAAATTATTCATAGATTACCATCCTGTTCCACATTCAATTCATTTGCCATTTTTAAATTTTGAACTTACTCTTCTGCGCCAAAATGACAATTGTCAAGTCTATTTTTTGACGACATAAAAATGAATTGCAAATATTTTTTTCAGGAAAGAAGGGTGATAATCTAAATAATTTCCCCGCCTGTATTTGATCTATGTACAAACAGCTAATAATTAAACTCCCATTGAAGCTGAGAGAGTAATTCTGCAGTACCAGATATACTCCATCTAAAACTTTACACATCTACAAGTACAAATGGATAAAAATTGCACGATTGTAATATGAAGGGGCTCTCGTCTTGAAAGACAATTTGGAAACATTTACTCTCATATTTCCCATGATGCATTTGATGATGTGACAATTGTGAGAAACACATTTCTTGGGGTGAATGGAACAGCTTCGAGTACAATCCTTACTCCTGGTATGATATAGGAAATATTGATCCAAACTGCAGCCAATACACTGCAATAACGCAGCAACATGTCAATATAAGACATCAAAAACCGACCTTATGCTACATAAGTTTGGATTCCTCAAGACAGCTTGTTGAAAGACATTACAATTTCTATTTCAGGCGCATAAAAGATATCCTTTCGTTTGGCCTGAACCTTCACCTTTCCATCAACCTGTAACAAATGCATTTTCTTCACATAGAAGTCCCGAGATGATTTTAAATTATTCGACAAAGATGCCCTACATTGTTGAGGATGGTTGCTACAACCACATATATTTTTGTCTGCCATTATTTTTGGGCTATCAAAATGCACAATAATCAAGTTCCACAAGGAAACTTCATAAGAACTTACAAAATCATGTCAAAAACTACTTGCTCTTGTCACATTCTAAAAGCATATTTTCGTGTCTTTAAGAATCTGTGAAACAGCATGTACAAATGTATTTTCCGATTTACACATTACAGTGAGACTTCAGCATTACCAATTTAAAAAATATCATAAAAGCGCTGAAAATGACACATGAAACTCAACCTGTTTCCAGTAAACATCAAATTTTTATCCCTACCATACAATGGCCTCATTGTTCTGGAGAACATGGCTTTTCAAGAGTTTATTATAGATGATACTGATATACAGGTGATGTCATGGACAGGTTATGGGATAATCACACTATATTTGTGAAAAGATGGTGAGATTTCTGAGAGGTAACTGCCAAGTGATCCTGATGGTGAATCTTGAAGAGGCAAATGAGACAAAGAGAACATGACTATGTATCCAACAACCTGGCTGTCTTTCAGATCAAAGGCGTCTTTCACAAGATGTATGTATTGATGATATTATTGAGTTTGAAGCAGAGATGATCAGATGAATATTTTCACAAGCAGCATTGGAACCTGCCTATAAATCTCAGTTCTTTGTAAAACAACAACAGCGCAGTCTTGAAGGCTCCAGGCCTACTAAAGTTTTGATAAATTCATGTGAATCCAATTTCAGCAAATTCCTGCTGCCTGTTTGATCATCCAATGAATCTGTTCCCTGACTGGTCACATGGCCTCATTGTTGTCCAATGAAATTACAACACATTTACTTCATGTTCCAGTGAAAACTGGGAAGACTTCCCGGGGCTTCACAGCCCACAAGTTTGAAGATGGCACTCAGGTTGTGCAATGCTAACACTGACAATTAAAATATTGGAAAATATTGTCAGTGACCTCATTCACATTGTCAAAGAAATGGAAGCATTGTCAACCTCTTCTACAAATGATGTTCCCAAACAGTTGTGGTTCAACAGATATGACCAGTAGTGCTGAAGTGCTCAACACAATCCCAATTCTCATCACTCGGTGACCAGCTGTTTCCGCTAATGATGTTCCATATACTTCCTATTATCTATATAAACATCTATTTATTATTCAATCCTTCAATCAGACACTCCCGTACTTTCATTCTTCTCCTTTCTGTTTTCAAAACCATCTGTAAGCACTCATTGGTCAATTCTTTCAGCCAATGATGTTACTGCAATTCTGTGTTCAAAACCATCTGCAAGCACTCATTGGTCAATTCTTTCAGCCAATGATCTTACTGCAATTCTGTGTTCAAACCATCTGCAAGCACTCATTGGTCAATATTTTCAGCCAATTATCTTACTGCAATTATGTTTTCAACATCATGTACAAGCACTCACTGGTCAACTCTTTCAGACAAATAAATGTTCTAACACTTCCATTTTCCATATCAATCAAGTAATAAAGATCTCAAACAAAGCACAGGACATCAACATTAGCCAAAGGAACCGATCTTCAGCTGCCATGAGCCAATCAAATCACTGATCCATTCCAACAATAGCCAATGAGATCAGTTGTTGCCATTTTCAGTTGGTGAGTCTTCATCATTGGCATCATGACTTGTGCTAGAGGAGTTTGTGTCACTGCTCGCATCTGAGCTATGATTAGTATTTTCAGAGGAAGAAATATGTCCGTTCATTTTTGGCTGGTAGTCTGTGATGATGACTGTCACATTGTTCACAGTCACTGGGATGTGCTGGGCACTACTTCGATCGATGTTCCTTAACCTTGGAGGTCTGGAAGATAAGACACCATCATCAACATTTGATATATTCACAGGATTAGAACTTAATATATATTTTCACTTCTCTAAAAATGTACCATAGAGTTGCTGTCTACGAAAGGCAATACTGGAAGTCTACAAGTAGGTGTCAAGTCTTCGTGAATTTAACTAATCCCAAACACAGTAACCTGTGTTCATTTCGAACACCGTTTCAACCTAAAAACATAAAACATTTGCCCTTGAGTTTTTGTATGTACAAAAATATATGAACACCATTCATTAAAAGCTTAGAAAGGTTAGGCTTTGGGAAGTCTGAAACTTTATCAAGAATGTTGATAAATCTCAAATAAAATACATATACAGTCAATTCCCGATGAGTCGAATGCCGGTGTCTCAAACATTATGCATAACTCGAAGTACCTGTCAGTCCCGACCATTCCCTGTTACAGTTGTCATCATTTGAATACCGTTTACCGAATTCGTCTCATAAATACACACGATGACTCGAGAAGAAAATTTGGTCCCATGAGATTCAAACAACAGCAATCTTGTATACATAAGCCGAAGTCAGTCAATGAGAAGTTGATTGGTGTAGCAAACTGATCCAATTAACAAACCAGCGCGGCTCACACCTTTCCGCCTTTGACGGGTGAGTTCAACACGCAGATTAGTGATTTTACGGAAATCTCTGTCTGTGCTAATCAGACTGGAACTGATAAGGTGCCCCTATTAGTGATAGGGAAATCATTAGATAAACAAATGCTTAGGCAGAGGAATTTGGACTGGATCATCTTTTTTCTACCCTCATAGATATACCTATGTCTCAAATACATCGATAAGTCGAATTTATTACTTGGTCCCCAGAGATTTGACTCATCGGGATTTGACTGTATATACATTATGAGATTCTATTTATCATTTCAAATCATTCATCCCTCTTTTTCAGTTCATAAACCATCACATCCAGTGTCTTCTGTGTAAAAAGAACAGCTTCAGTAGCAGAGAGATAAGTAATGTCATTTGACTGTGACATCATAGCAGCCAGTGACATCACAATGATCTGCAAGGTATTGTGATGCAATTTCAATGAAGGATATAACCTTTGTTTGATCTCATCCATGCCATATCTCTTGTGTGAACCTGTTTAGGTTAATAAAACTGTCTACCCAAAAATGTGGAAAGACTTCAATCCAGTACTGGTTTGGTAAGCAGATAGCTAGATTATTGAAGAAAAGATGTCAAAATGCTGGATATATTATTATAACATAAAAATGAAAACCCAATTTCACAGGTGAGTCAGCTCTTCGATGGGTTATCCACATTCCAGATCACCTTGAGAAAATTCCAAACACTTATTCAGACTCACATTGTCCATGTTAACAACTAGTAATGTTTGAAGGCTAATTATTAACTTAGAATTCAGGGATTAGGGTAGAAAACTTGGACAATGGGCCATTTTCAGGATTATTAGCCATTTTCTGAATTTAGAATGGGCCACTAGTACCACTACGCTTGTATTAATTGTAACCTTCAAAATTTTAATGGACCATTTTTTATTCTTATGTGCAAATGGCCCATGGCCCCTTCCTTTCCCAATCCCTGCAATTAATATTCGAAAATGTATCAATACAGCATCAGCAACAAAATGTTATCAGTACATCATCCCCACATGACGAGCAACCACCTGAACCGCTAGGTTACCCCACCGCCCCATTAAAGGGATACCCTGAGCTCAAAATATATTCCTAATGCACAGTTACTCACAAATTTCCATTTCCATTCAGTATCAATCATTTCCTTAGGGTATTCAATATATTTTCACTCTCATGGGTAGTCTATTGGGTATTTCTGCACCAGTGTGTAAATATTTTAAAATGAATGCATCTTGTATACTGTTTCAGACGACTTTTATATATGTTCCTCAAGGGTGGACATGTCACATAGACTCACAACAGCCACGTACACATCTAATAAACAAGCCATTGTATTTTATTTATGCATTATTCATAGCAGTGTTGCCTGCATGTAGTCAGTAAAAACATGGTGGAGAAAATAAGGTATGCAAGTTCAAAAGGATATGTTGGGTAACAAACTGATTGATAGTTGTCATGCTGTTGTTTTTGGCATATTTTATGCAAACATGCTGTTAGTCTGCACCCCTTGATGCCATATATTTGTCTGTTACGGTAACAAGATGTATTGCAGATTTAAAGATGGATAACTGTCGTGCTTGTTGACGAGGGTAAGATATGTGATACACTTTGAACATACACCTCAGTTGAGTGAAGTCTTACGTCCTGTGTTCCTATTAAGTAACACTCACATATTGAATATAGCCTTCATTAGTGAATTTAACCAATTTTCAGAATTCTATATTACATTCTTGAGGTTTTTGAGTCTGATACAATATTGTTTTAGAGGACACCTTCCTGTCTGTATTGTTCAGTTAGCCCATGCTTAAAGTTGAAAGAATTAACTTAATATTAACTCTTAATCAACACTAGTTGAACAATAGTCAGATTTCTTTAGTGGACAACATCTGCTGGCCTTATAATACCTCTAACCATATACACCACACAGCTTGATACTGAATACATGAAACCTCTATCAATGCATATCTGTTCATGGACACTCGGCCTTATACATTGAACATGTATAAAATTAAATGCTACAATTCTAATGAATTATCTTGTAAATGATTCACAAGGGTGAAATAGATGTCACAAAGGCCATTTTCAAAATCCTGAATGAATGATCTTGTAAATGATTCACAACAATGATATGGCACTGAGGCCATTTCTTAAATCCCAAATTCACAATGGTAATGATATGGCTACCACTAAGGCCATTTTTGAAATTCTGAATTCACAATGGTAATGAATGATCTTGTAAATGATTTTCAAGGATGATACGTCTGCGACTAAGGACATTTTTGAAATCACGAATTCACAATGGTAATGCATGATTTTCAAAGATGATATGGCTGCAACTAAGGCCATTTTGAAATTCCCGAATTCACAATGGCAATGAATGATTCACAAGGTTGATATGGCTGCCTCAAAGTACATAATTTTGAAATCCTGAGTTGACAACGACAGACAATGAAGGAAAGATGGACTGAAGATGACTGACGACAACACCACGACATACTCACCTTCAGTCCAGGTGAGCTACAACATAGTTTAGCCAAATTTTACATCGGGAGATCATTTGTTTGAATTTCTAAATATTATGCATGATGATCATCTTTTCATAAAATTTTAAAAAAAGTTCTTCACAACCTCTTTGTCTGCTGCCATGAACGTACATGACACAACCATATTGTTTGGTCATTTTCATTTAAGTACAACAAACAGGCACGAGGTGAGATTATTTCTAGGATAGGACAAGCACACCATTGATTATTTCCTTGTAAAATATCAACCACTCAATTAATTTATTCCATTGTAAGAACAACCATAGAACATTTCAATCTTAGTGCAACCACACTATTAGATTATTCCCATGTAAGCACAACTACACTATTAGATTATTCCCATGTAAGCACAACTACACTATTAGATTATTCCCATGTAAGCACAACCACTCTATTAGATTATTCCCATGTAAGCACAACCACACTATTAGATTATTCCCATGTAAGCACAACCACTCTATTAGATTATTCCCATGTAAGCACAACTACACTATTAGATTATTCCCATGTAAGCACAACCACTCTATTAGATTATTCCCATGTAAGCACAACCACTCTATGAGATTATTTCTTTGTTAGTAAAACCACACTATTAGAATATTTCTTTGCTAGTAAAAAACACTCTGTTAGGTTATTCTATGCTACTAAAACCACTGTTAGATTATTCCTACGTATGTACAACCACACTATTAGATTATTCCTACATATGTACAACCACACTATTAGATTATTCCTACATATGTACAACCACACTATTAGATTATTCCTACATATGTACAACCATACTATTAGATTATTCCTACATATGTACAACCACACTATTAGATTATTCCTACATATGTACAACCACACTATTAGATTATTTCTATGCTTGTACAACCACATTATTTGATTATTTCTACATATGCACAACCACATTATTTGATTATTCCTACATATGCACAACTACTCTGTTAAATATAATTATATACTTCTCATCAAAAGTTTAGACTCCCTAGTGTAAATGTAGCCACTTACTTCAGGCAAGTGTTCTAAACTATATTTTGCAAAATATGGCACACTGTATAAAGGTACTGTTTACACATGAACTGATGTATTGTAAAACAAATTCGTAACGTTGAAAAGTTTGTCATGAGTTCAGTAAATGATGAAAATCAGTGAAAAATGGCGAATTCTTAACAAAACTTTACACCAAAATGCAGCTGTTCACATGCATGATATTTGCACATGCTTTTCGGCAATTTGATACGTGATCTTCGTGTAATTCATCTGCATAAAGTTTGCAGTTAGATCCCCCAAATTAGTGGAGAAATCAATCTTCGATGTAAACATATATATATACATAACATATAGTGAGTGTTTTAAGTGTGTTTAAACTTTTGCAGAGAAGTATATATTATAAATATAATAAACATTAAATATTTCTTCATCCAACTGATTACACTTATTTTTCTTTATTGCATCAATTTGAATTTGTTAAATCTGTGTTAGTAGTAAGTCGCTCTTTATACTTCATCTAATTGAGGAACTTCTGTTAATCTCCAGCCATTTTGACTTCTGCACCATCAACCAGTTCAATCTAGACCCATCAAGTTTTTCTCCTGACAAAGGCACGAACTAATCGTCATCTAACCAGGCCATATTTCTACTAGTCCACAATGGATCTCGAGCAGTGACTGGACACCATGTTTGACTACAAATTGAAGCAGTCAGTATATTTCCGAGAGTATTAACAGTGACAAGATTAGCCTGTTTGTGTACAGGCTACAACAGCAGACACACTGCTGGGGTGGGCTGGATAAACAGTGAGGGGGATCTCAAGGTAGTCATATCTTAGATTAGCACAACCCTGTCAAGAGTGCCCACAATCACCCTGGTCTCCCTCAACCAATACATCTCAGTGGCTTTTGTCAGCCTATTCACAGTCCTCAACCCAGCGTTAATTCAGCTTTCAATAGCTGGTCAGGTAATTGGTTCGCTATTGCAGATCACCATGTATTGAAAGCTGAGGACCTTGTCCTGTCGAACACCTTTGTGTGATTATCCTTACTCCTACTACGTCCTTCCCCAGATGTTCAGACTGGGTTCTGTCTAGTAATGATGTATAGACTCGCCACCCACCTTGGCTGCTCATATTGCTGTTCAGTGTATTCAAAAGACATGTTGAGGGGTCAAAAGAATACTTGCCATTCCAGTCAAATCATTGAATGAGCATGTTATTCACTGACTGCTTCTGTCTGTACTTAATTAATATCTATAGCCAATTAGATCCCGAGTGACACTTCAACTGGACTTACAAGACCTTGGTGTTTAAAGCATACAAGGAAGGATTCCAGTTCCACCAGACAAAATGTTGACCGAGACATGATAATGTCCGATCTATCCAACTATCCACTCTCTTCTGTCTGGTGGGGTTTTTTACATGGATCACTGAAATGTTTCAAAACAAACACCAACATAAATCCCTACACAAAACAATCTGTAATTCAAGATAAATGTCTTCTGAAAATGTACTTTTTTGTATCAGTTAAAATAATGTTTTGAGAGGTTCAACATACAAAAATTGTTTTTTGCTATTGGAAATTTGGCCACGTCCCCTAATGGAATAGTCTTTCCTGACAGTAGAAGTAGCCAGGCTTATGTGTCACTGCGTGCATATTGGTGTCAGCTCTATTTGTATGCTATTGATTAGAAAAGATTTCTGCAAAGTTATAATTTTTACAAATTATATTAAAAGGAAAGAACATATCTCTTGAAAACAACCACTGTCTTGAAGTTTATGCTTTCATCCAAGTAAAATCAAAATGAAATACAATCTAATGTCTGATAGCATACAATATTTAATTAGCAAATGTGAACTGAGGTATCGTTACTTGAATATCGTAAAACAGATTATCTGCAATTATTGATACTTGGCCAGATTTTTTAAAGACTTGTTTACAAATCTGCTTACTTAAAAATGAAAAAAGAAAGTATTTTATTTATATATATAGAAATGACAAAAGTGGCAAGGGGACTTTGCTGGAGCAAAAGGTTTGGTTAGACACCTGCAGGTTTGGTAGTGATTCTAAAACTCCCTACACTGATACTGACAAATTTTGTGACAATTTTTCTCGTCTCAATACCTGTTTACTTCATTAACCTCTTTCTTTTCCTCTCTGAAACTTGACGCAGAAGTTATAATAAAATGCTTGTTGGAAATGGCCTGACGCAGACAGCACTCCAGAGGCAGAAGGCACCTTTAACTCATAACTGACAAACCAAATTTGTATAAGGCCCTTGAAGAACCACTTAACCATTCGGTCAATACAAGCTGATGACGGCAGACACCCCATTTAGACACCTTTCCCCCCTGCCAGCTATTTACTCTCACAAGCAAGAGCTTTGCGAGTGTTTACACTCCATATTGTCCGCTAAACTTCTTTTTGCTCATTAATTTGTGCATTTTCCAACTAAAGGGTTTTCAACAGAAGTTTAACCACCTTTTGTCCACAGTGTTATAAAGACATGAAAGGCCGCCATGTTGGACAAAGTTTGTAAGTCTATATTATATCTATGTAAGTACTCTTTTCTGAAAGAAATTGAGGATTTGCGTACACAATCACGCTCAACATAAGGGTGGAGACACTGCATATTTTCTATCATATCAGATGCCATAATGGCCAAGGAAGGAATTGCTTCTTGAACAAACACACTAAACAAACTCATCTGAAGGATTAATAAAATTCACTAGAGAATAGGGCCGAAATGGCTGTTAAACATTCAAATGACTTTATGAATTTCTTCAACCCTTATAACAATTGTTGAGAATCAAACAAGTTTTTTCAATAAGCCGTAACTTACCACACAAGCCTTCACAATTTGAATTTTTTCACATCAAAGACAGCCATGGTTTTTTCAAAGCACACCATGGCGAGCATTTCTGTAATGGCATCCAGACTTGAATCATTATTTTTTTAAATGTTTGATTTTGCTTCACCATTTAGTTGCAAATTATTTTGTCACAATTTAAATTAACATTTCACAAACAATGTCTGTGTCCCTTTGCAGATTTGCATTTTTTTTTCAGATCAAAAACTAAAAAAGATGGTTCCACTGATATACAAAGAGACTTTCTGCAACACATTCTTAGATCGTCTGCTAGGAATGAAAGAGTATTTTTTCAGTCATATTGAAGAATGTAGGGTGTTATCTGATCAGGAAATCAACGCTGGATCTAAGTACAACCACACCAGTATCAATCAGCACTGGGTTTTTTCCAAAAGTTGGAAATAGCTTGTAACAGTCCTAACAAGGTCAGACATTAATAAACACTGACGGCAGATTCCTTTGACTGTTTTTTAGAGCCTTTGTTTTGACAACATGTTGTTTTTCTCTCCAAGATTGTATAAAAATGAAACAGACTGCAATTCACGTACCAACATCTGCCTCAGATCTCATTCTGCCAAAATTCACATTTCACTTGGAGATGAATAATACACAATATATATCAGCATCACTTTCAAGACAAGGAGGTCATGGCTTACTGAATCTTCATGCCCTTACACTATGCATTGACATTCACTCTGTCAACCACTAGTCTGCCTGGATCAAGCCTCATTACTTTACGGGTCACTAAGATATCCCACTGCTGTGATAACGGTCAGGCCAAAACACATCACTTTCCACACCTATTCCAAAAACACATCACTTCCATACACCCCAACACACATCACTTCCATACACCCAACACACACCCAACACATCACTTCCATACACCCCAACACACATCACTTCCATACACCCCAACACACATCACTTCCATACACCCAAACACCCATCACTTCTATACACCCAACACCCATCACTTCCATACACCAAAACACCCATCACTTCCATACACCCAACACACATCACTTCTATACACCCCAACACACATCACTTCCATACACCCAAACACCCATCACTTCCATACACCCAACAAACATCACTTCTATACACCCCAACACACATCACTTCCATACACCCATCAACAAAACATAGATTCACAACAGCTTCTTGGCAAGTCTTGACCATACCTGTTGCCATCTTTAGAATGGGACCCAAGTTTCTCCTTTTTAGCAGGATTATGAGACTTTTCTTTCTTTGGTGGTGCTGGAGGAGCAAACTGTTGAGCCACTTGTTGTGCTACCAGCTGAGAGTTGAGCCTTGGCTTCCTGCAAACACAAACATGACAGATTAGCTCAACACGCTGAGCCATGGTAGTTGACCATGGATATGTTCATTTTAGTCCATGTTGATAACCCTGCTATAAGTATTATGTATAACAAACAACGTTACTGTCAAACACTCTGGATACAAAGTTGCTGCTGAGTAGATACAACAGTCATAAACTATACAAAGTTGCTGCTGAGCAGATACAACAGTCATAAACTATACAATATTGCTGCTGAGTAGATACAACAGTCATAAACTATACAATATTGCTGCTGAGTAGATACAACAGTCATAAACTATACAATATTGCTGCTGAGTAGATACAACAGTCATAAACTATACAATATTGCTGCTGAGTAGATACAACAGTCATTAACTATACAATATTGCTGCTGAGTAGATACAACAGTCATAAACTATACAATATTGCTGCTGAGTAGATACAACAGTCATAAACTATACAATATTGCTGCTGAGTAGATACAACAGTCATAAACTATACAATATTGCTGCTGAGTAGATACAACAGTCATAAACTATACAATATTGCTGCTGAGTAGATACAACAGTCATTAACTATACAATATTGCTGCTGAGTAGATACAACAGTCATAAACTATACAATATTGCTGCTGAGTAGATACAACAGTCATTAACTATACAATATTGCTGCTGAGTAGATACAACAGTCATAAACTATACAATATTGCTGCTGAGTAGATACAACAGTCATTAACTATACAATATTGCTGCTGAGTAGATACAACAGTCATAAACTATACAATATTGCTGCTGAGTAGATACAACAGTCATTAACTATACAATATTGCTGCTGAGTAGATACAACAGTCATAAACTATACAATATTGCTGCTGAGTAGATACAACAGTCATTAACTATACAATATTGCTGCTGAGTAGATACAACAGTCATAAACTATACAATATTGCTGCTGAGTAGATACAACAGTCATAAACTATACAATATTGCTGCTGAGTAGATACAACAGTCATTAACTATACAATATTGCTGCTGAGTAGATACAACAGTCATTAACTATACAATATTGCTGCTGAGTAGATACAACAGTCATAAACTATACAATATTGCTGCTGAGTAGATACAACAGTCATAAACTATACAATATTGCTGCTGAGTAGATACAACAGTCATAAACTATACAATATTGCTGCTGAGTAGATACAACAGTCATTAACTATACAATATTGCTGCTGAGTAGATACAACAGTCATAAACTATACAATATTGCTGCTGAGTAGATACAACAGTCATTAACTATACAATATTGCTGCTGAGTAGATACAACAGTCATAAACTATACAATATTGCTGCTGATAGATACAACAGTCATTAACTATACAATATTGCTGCTGAGTAGATACAACAGTCATAAACTATACAATATTGCTGCTGAGTAGATACAACAGTCATTAACTATACAATATTGCTGCTGAGTAGATACAACAGTCATAAACTATACAATATTGCTGCTGAGTAGATACAACAGTCATTAACTATACAATATTGCTGCTGAGTAGATACAACAGTCATAAACTATACAATATTGCTGCTGAGTAGATACAACAGTCATTAACTATACAATATTGCTGCTGAGTAGATACAACAGTCATAAACTATACAATATTGCTGCTGAGTAGATACAACAGTCATTAACTATACAATATTGCTGCTGAGTAGATACAACAGTCATAAACTATACAATATTGCTGCTGAGTAGATACAACAGTCATTAACAGTCATAAACTATACAATATTGCTGCTGAGTACAACAGATAAACAACAGCTGCTGAGTAGATAAAGTCATAAACTATACAATATTGCTGCTGAGTAGATACAACAGTCATTAACTATACAATATTGCTGCTGAGTAGATACAACAGTCATAAACTATACAATATTGCTGCTGTAGATAGATACAACAGTCATAAACTATACAATATTGCTGCTGAGTAGATACAACAGTCATTAACTATACAATATTGCTGCTGAGTAGATACAACAGTCATAAACTATACAATATTGCTGCTGAGTAGATACAACAGTCATAAACTATACAATATTGCTGCTGAGTAGATACAACAGTCATAAACTATACAATATTGCTGCTGAGTAGATACAACAGTCATAAACTATACAATATTGCTGCTGAGTAGATACAACAGTCATTAACTATACAATATTGCTGCTGAGTAGATACAACAGTCATAAACTATACAATATTGCTGCTGAGTAGATACAACAGTCATTAACTATACAATATTGCTGCTGAGTAGATACAACAGTCATAAACTATACAATATTGCTGCTGAGTAGATACAACAGTCATTAACTATACAATATTGCTGCTGAGTAGATACAACAGTCATAAACTATACAATATTGCTGCTGAGTAGATACAACAGATACAACAGTCATAGATACAAACTATACAATATTGCTGCTGAGTAGATACAACAGTCATAAACTATACAATATTGCTGCTGAGTAGATACAACAGTCATAAACTATACAATATTGCTGCTGAGTAGATACAACAGTCATTAAACTATACAATATTGCTGCTGAGAGATAGATACAACAGTCATAAACTATACAATATTGCTGCTGAGTAGATACAACAGTCATAAACTATACAATATTGCTGCTGAGTAGATACAACAGTCATTAACTATACAATATTGCTGCTGAGTAGTAGATACAACAGTCATAAACTATACAATATTGCTGCTGAGTAGATACAACAGTCATAAACTATACAATATTGCTGCTGAGTAGATACAACAGTCATAAACTATACAATATTGCTGCTGAGTAGATACAACAGTCATAAACTATACAATATTGCTGCTGAGTAGATACAACAGTCATAAACTATACAATATTGCTGCTGAGTAGATACAACAGTCATAAACTATACAATATTGCTGCTGAGTAGATACAACAGTCATAAACTATACAATATTGCTGCTGAGTAGATACAACAGTCATAAACTATACAATATTGCTGCTGAGTAGATACAACAGTCATAAACTATACAATATTGCTGCTGAGTAGATACAACAGTCATAAACTATACAATATTGCAATATTGCTGAGTAGATACAACAGTCATAAACTATACAATATTGCTGCTGAGTAGATACAACAGTCATTAACTATACAATATTGCTGCTGAGTAGATACAACAGTCATAAACTATACAATATTGCTGCTGAGTAGTCAGATACAGTATAAACTATACAATATTGCTGCTGAGTAGATACAACAGTCATAAACTATACAATATTGCTACTGAACAGATACAACAGTCATAAACTATATAATATTGCTGCTGAGTAGATACAACAGTCATAAACTATACAATATTGCTGCTGAGTAGATACAACAGTCATAAACTATACAATATTGCTGCTGAGTAGATACAACAGTCATAAACTATACAATATTGCTGCTGAGTAGATACAACAGTCATAAACTATACAATATTGCTGCTGAGTAGATACAACAGTCATTAAACTATACAATATTGCTGCTGAGTAGATACAACAGTCATAAACTATACAATATTGCTGCTGAGTAGATACAACAGTCATAAACTATACAATATTGCTGCTGAGCCGCAAAAAAGTGTCATACAATCAGGATACAATGTTGCTGAACAATAATTGTTCACCTCTGTGGCTGGAGTGTTGCAGTTTGACAACAAATGTCATAAATTCTTGACACAATAGTCTCAATGAACTAGACAAGCAAAACCAACTACATCCTACAAATGAAAAGTGTGAACAATGCTTACTTCGGAATTGCATAGTAAGGACCAGTACCTAATTATAATAAATACACACTGGTATTTGATGAAGTATTTATCCCCCACATGGGCATTTCAACTGGTAAGGTATAGTACGAGGACTGTAATTATACATCAAACTATTGCAGTTGTTGAGTCTCCGATAGCAATTAATCAATGGTAGAAACAAAAAACTATTGATGCTTCGATAGAACCGGTATGTGTGATTATCGATAGTTTAGCAATTGAAATGGGTATTTGGATGGTTATTTATATTTATGAAATATTTATGTCGTTTTGCATTTTATTATTGTTTGGGTGCACACTTGCAGCTAAATTGAGTTTATGTTTTAACTGTTGACTTGATCTGGGTTTCAAGTTGTTTGTCAGTCATCAAAAGAGACTCAAATTACTCCATCTTGTTTTTATTTCATGTTAACTATACATTCATTTGGGAAATGACTTCAAATGAGACAAGTCAAAGAAAAACAAAACCCTATTGCAATAGTATTGCAATAGTTGGTCGCAAAAGACTATCACTATCACAATAGTATGTTGCAATAGACTATCGCTATCGTAATAGTTGTTTCCTAACCTATTTCCCTCAAAATGGAGCAAAGCATCGAACTTTGAAACCTTGAGTTAAGAAAATTATAAGCATCATGGTCATTAACTGAAACATTGAAAAATATTCCTAATCTATAAAACATTATATCAGTCTTTTAAAATTTTATCAAAAACTGAATTCAACACTATCGCATGTGTAATCTGAAGAGTGAGTGACCCAGTGGCCACCTGTTGTCTAGAACACTCATTCCTTGCGTGTTCTTGTACAGAGAGATACAGTTTCCCCCTGTGGACCAGACACCTACACACACTGCTCAGATTTATCACGTTTATTGGTTTTTACATTTATTCCATCCACTAACAAAACAGCTCATTGCAGAATGTATTTTGCCTACAATCAAATTCTCTTAAATGTTTCAACAAAAGTATGTACATCTCCAGACTTCTAAGTGGAGCCCTAAGTTTTGTCAAATGAAGATAAGCTTCATACAGGTCAACTGAGGATGAAGATAACACGAACAGCTGGTGATTCCAGCAAGTGGAGGCAGACATAGTGGTACAGTGTATGCACATCATACATAACAGTGTGTATATCAGGAACA